AGAAGGCAGGACGACTGCCTCGTTGAGCTACTTCTTTGTTTGGAGTTCACGTAGAACTTATGCCCATTTGACAGATGTGAACCTTCATAGGTAAAACTGAGCGAGAGTCCCACAGCATTTCAGGGACAGAACCGGGACGCGGGCAACTGTGTTGATGGGAATAACTTAGGTCAGTAGTTAGGCACTGATGAAATCGATGCGCGTGGTTGTTTCTCATGGTCTTGCGGAGTTTAAACAACCCAAACTTTGTAGCTGGGTATGGTAGTGTACATCTGTAATCCCAGCGCGGCACACAGCCAGGATCTCTTGTGAGGACAAGGCCGTTCTGGTAAACTAGCGAGTCCAGGTTCAAAGCCAGCGACACACGGTTACCCATGTTCTTAGAAAAACCATCAAGCCGGATTATGAGTGCTTAGTTCCCACCATTGTATTGGTTAAAATTGTCCAGACTCACGGATGCTTTATGATGTAGAAAGTTCTATGTGTGGCAGAATTGTTGAGCTTTTCAAGATGAAAGTGAGACACACTGCAGACTGTAGTAGCTGTTTGTGTCGTTACTTTTCTGAATAACAACAACAAAAAAAGCAACCAACCATTGGGCTATAGGGTATGGTAGATAAGCCGCAGTTAGTGAACAAGCATCCATCCCTATGTAATTTTCTTCTCCTTTTTTTCTTTACAAAAATCTGAAACACTCATTTGTTTTAATTTTAGAATAACAAAAGAACCTGGAAAAGTTGGAGAAGATAAAGTATATTCAGTATCCAGTCAGGAGATCAACAAACCAGGTAAGCGCTGGGAAGTTAAGTGTATATGAAGAAAACTCAGTACATTTTTACAGTGTGTGATCTGGGCTATTATGTAAAATTTAAAATATCTTGAAAAAAAAAAGATGTATTTTGGTGATGTATAAAATTCTAGCCATTTTTCATGGAAGAAGTGTTATGTGAAAAATAAAAAAAAACTCATTGACTTAAAAGATTTTCGCCTTAGTTGTTTGATTTTGGATTTTTTTTCAAGGCAGGGTTTCTTGGTGTAACCTTGTCTGTTCTGGAATTTTCACAGTAGATCAGGCTGGCCTCCCAACTCAGACATCCACCTGCTTCTACCTCCTGGAGTGCTGGGATTAAAGGTATGTGCCACCACTGCCTTTCTTTTCTTCTTTTTTGGTACTTTGAGACAAAGTTTCTCTGTGTAACAGCTCTGGCAGTTCTGGAACTCACTTTGTAGATCAGGCTGGAGCTCACAGAGAATTGCCTGCCTCTGTTGGTATTAAAGAGGAGAGTACCACCACCACCACCACCACCCTGCAGGATTTTCATTTTTATGTAACAAATTTTTCAAGAATGCCTGCATACCTGAAGGTATGCACACAAATGGTGTTATTTTATACATTGGCAGACTGCATTTGCTATTCAAGTTGCTTTTATTTCAGTTCTTTTCTGCTCAACACTACATCTACATCCATTTCTAGTGGCCCAAGGTACTGAATTTAGCCTGGTAAAGTAAAAGTTTGACTTGAGGTAATGTATATATTGACATTGCTTTTACAAGTATATTGCTGAATGTTTTCCATTTTGAAAAAAAATTATTTATTTTGTTTTTTAAGACAGGGTTTCTTTGTGTAGCCTTGGCTGTCCTAGAATTACTTCTGTAGACCAGAAAGTCTTGCCTGCTTCTGCTTCCTAAGTGCTGGGTTTAAAGGTGTACTGGTTAATCAGAGCAGTTCTTAAGTTTATAATTCCATGAAGACTTTTTTTTTTTTATCAGTTAGGGCCACGAAGCTGTGAGGCTCTGGCAGGGCAGTAGCACCACCTGAATTTTCCCACACTTTTGGCTGACTCACCAGAAGGCCTGTGGCAAGGCATTGAGCTCTGTAGAGATTGTAAAATATAATGCGGCACTGTGTGATGGAGTCCGGCCTCCAACCTCAGCACTCAGGAGTTGAGACACCTTTTTTCATCTGGTGTTTTGTGGACAGTCTAGAACACATGAGACCCTGTTCAAAAAATGCAACAAAACTATAGAGTAATGAGTATTTTATAACATCCATGTTCAAAGATGAAGAGTAGTTAACCGTTCCTGAATTAAAACTTAAAAACACAAGCTCATCACTCGGGAGGCAGAGGCAGGCGGGTCTCTGTGAGTTCGAGGCCAACCTGGTCTTCAGAGCGAGTGCCAGGATAGACTCCAAAGCTACACAGAGAAACCCTGTCTCGAAAAACAAAAAACAAACAAATAACCAAAAATCCCCACAAGCTCAGGAGTGGCATATTCAATAATGCTTATATTTAATCTATTTATATCCAGTATCCTGATTAGACACTGTAGTTCACGCTTCTCATGAAAAGACAGATTTACAAGTGTTTTACATGTAAGCACAGAGATTTGTGAAATAATTTACTAAAAGGTAATTTAGCCCTTGATTTCATCCCAATGTTAAACAACCTGTTGCTGGGTGGTGGTGGCACGCTCCTTTAGTTCCAACACCGAGGAGGCAGAGGCAGGCCGATCTCTAAGTTTGAGACCAGCCATCTCATCTTGAAAAGCAAAAACCAAACCCCACCAACAACCTGTTGTTTGATAACTTAAAGGGTCATTAGAAGAAACTACATTTTACATGGATTATTTAAATTGATTGAAAATTAATAATTGGGCAGAGGAAAGAAAATAGTTCAAGAACCTTTTCTTATTCTTTATTGTATTATACATTTACCATCTAAATCCTTATAAAAATGTGTACCATTAGTGCCATTACCTATATTCATATTGTTGTGTGATCTTCAGTACCACTGGTTATCAGGGTCATTACACATTAAACGGTAGTAATTCTCCCCCCTCAGGCTGCTTTGTCCATCATTCTACTTTCTGTTTCTAGATTGCTACTCTTGTTTTTCTCAAATCTAAATGTAGTTATACTTCTACCCTCCTTTGACCTCACTGAGTGAATTATTTTAGGTTTTCCGTTACTGAATTAACAAGAATCTCACTTAGTTGTCGTTTTGGAGAATGAACCCAGAACTTTGATGTGTCATTGACCTACAAGCCCCACCTAATCATGGCTGGCTTTCTTTTTTTTTTTTTAATACTCTATTTTGCTTTATGCGTTTGGTGTTTTGCCTGCATGTATGTCTGTGTGAAGGTGTCAGATTATCTGGAATGGGAGTTACAGACAATTGTGAACTGCTGTGTGGGTGCTGGGAATTGAACCTGGGTCCTCTAGAAGTGCTGGCTTTCTTTTAATGTACCCTATATTCATTTTTTGCTAATATAGTACTTAGGATTTTATAAAGTATCCAGTTTTGGAAATAAGTCTCTTTTTAGTTTGTATCATTTCTGCAGGGTTTTAGGATCATACTATATTGTCTTGAAATTTGCATACTTGTATTCTGGGACAGATGTACAAGAAATTCATGACCATTTCTTGCCACAACCCTCCCTAGCCCCCTATCCGAAATAGTACTTGTTTAACTTATAAAATTTCCAATATAGTTTGCTTTATTTTCCTGGGTCAATTTTAGGCATTTGAACTGATTTGTTCAGTAATCTGAACACTTCATTTGTGTAGATTGTGAGATAAATTAGTGTGGACCTATGCTAGATATTGTGTATAAATCTGGCTTGTTTCCTGTTTTTGTTCCTTTTCTATATATTTTCCCTCTTCTCAATGCATGCAGTATTCCTTTTCTCTCTTGATTAGGATAGTGTGTTAATGGATTGCTTCATAATGATTTTATTCCCAATTCATGAATGTAGAGGCTTCACTGGGTGTCTGTCACATGTTGTGCTCATGTGAAGTTGCCACTGCTGCAGTTGTGGACTTGTGGGCTTGAAGTGTCTTTACATATTTGTTTACTGGTTTCCATTTCTTTTTTTTTTTTAATTAATTTTTTATTTTGAAGGAATTTCTTTTTTTTTTAATTTACTAATTTTTTTTTATATTCATTGGTGTCAGGTCCCCTGGAACTGGAATTACAGACAGTAGTGAGATGCCATGTGGGTGCTGGGAATTTTGAACCCGGGTCCTCTGAAAGAGCAGTCAGTGCTCTTATCCATTGAGCCATTTCTACAGCCCTATTCCTTGTTAAACATTAGGTACCAAATAGACATTGGGATATTTACAGCATTAGGTAAATAGTTCTTTGAGGCGTAGAGAAGAGGAATACTTGAAACAGGTTATTATTTCTGCATTTTGTATGGCAGAAAGGAATCACTATGTCTAATTCATATTCAAGAGGAGGGGATTTAGGAAAGTACCCTAGGGACTAGAAGTTATTGACAGTCATCCTACAGGGATTGCCAATAACAGATAGCTAATAACTTATTTACTTAACTCTAATAAGTTTCTCTAAATTTTCTCCATTTATTTTATTTTTTTTTGTGATTTTTTTTTCTTTTGAATGGGTTCTGACTCTGTTTCCCGTGCTGGTCTAGGAAATGGTCCATAGTGATGCTCAAATCATCCTGCTATCTCTGCTTCTGGAGCATCTGGGATGATACATGGCATGTCCTGCTGTGCTCAGTTACAACTTTTTAGTGGAATCTTTGTTATATTCCTTCTTTTTACTTGATAATACAAGTAAAAAGCTTACAGACATTTTGTAATACTGTCTTACAGCAGCATTCCTTGTTGCTTTGTATGTATTCTGGCTATCTGTTTTTGTATAACAAACATTTGAAAGCTTGGCCAGCTATGCCCAAGAAGGCCTTTTTACTAACATGTCTGGCATCTTAGTGCTGTTTCTAAAAATCCAGGTAGCCTAGATGTCTTGCACAGTAGCTGGTTGCTAGGTATGGTTTTAATGAAAAATGTCTCCCATGGGTTTAGGCATTTGAAATGAACACTTTGCCCCCAGTTGGTGGTACTGTTGTAGAGATTATGCAGCCTTGCTTGTCAGTGGGGTTTGTTTTGAGAGTTGAAAGTCTTACCTCACTTTCTGTTCTCTATCTCATGCTTGCTGTTAAAGATGTGAATCTCTCAGTCTCCCACTCCAGCTGTCATGGACTCTTATCTTCTGGAACTGTAAGCTAGAATAAACTGTTTTCTATAAATTGCCTTGGCCATGATGTTTTATTAACAACAGAAAAGGAACTGATACACATGGCTTCCCTTTTTTTTTTTTTTTTTTTTTTTTTGAGGCAGGGTCTCTCTGTGTAGTCCTGGCTGTTCTGGAGCTCAATCTGTAGACCAGTCTGGCCTCAAACTCAGAGATCTGCCTGCCTCTGTCTTCCTAGTGCTGGGATTAAAGGTGTGTGGACACCACTGCCCGGCTTGATCCACTTGGTTTAAGGCTTATACCCAGAACTCAAAGCATTGCTTGTTGGTCAAAGCAGGCATGTGATCTATACAAAAGTTTCTGGGAGTGGTAGTGGCAAATAGACTCATCTCTTGATAAAAGAAGTAGTGGCTAGGTTGTATTACAGAACAGCATGTATAAGAGGTAACTGTGGTCTTCAGTTTTTTTTTTTTTGGACAGGGTCTCATTTGTATAGCTCTCAGGAGGGCCTCAAACTTTTAATCCTTCTGCCATATCCCACTGCTGATGTTTTCTTGGTTTGCATTGTGCATTTCTGCCTGGCCACTTGTAGGATTGTCTGTCTCTGTCTTTTAATAGTTAATTATATTTTTAGCTGTATGCTGATTAAATGAAACAATATAAAAGTTGATGATACTTTCTTCTATTCCTTATTTTTGAGATGGGTTCTCACTGTGTAGCTCTGGCTGTCCTGGAACTCACTGTGTAGTCTAGGTTGGTCTTGAACTCACAGGTTCCTGCTGCTTCTGCTCCCTGAGTGCTTGGGATGAAAGGCATGCAACTCTACGCCCAGCTTCACTTTAATGTATTTGCATTACTTCCCCCATGTTTTGGGGCTGGCAAGATGGCTTAGTTACTGAGTGCTTGTGATGGAAGCTTGTGAGCAGAGTTTAGTTATTGGAAGCCATGGAAGAAGGCAAGAACAAATGTCCTGACTGCATGCTCACTGAGACGAACATATGCACCTACTCACATCTATAACACACATTCAAAATAATGAAGATTTGACATTTTTATTAAGTGACTTTTTGGGGGAGTTCTTTGAGACAGGGCTTCTTTGTAGCCCTGGCTGTATTGGAACTCACTCTGTAGACCAGGCTGGCCTCAAACTTCCTGATTCTGCATCATGAGTGCTGCGATTAAAGGCAGGTGCCACCACACCTAGCTTTGGCTTTTTTTAATAAGAAAAATTTTAGTTCTTTTTATCCCCCCTCCCAGTATACTTTTGTCAGTCTGGCAAATCAGTAAGAAACTTCTTACAACTTAAAAGTTGAGCTATAGGGTCATTAAATGGATTCTCAGAGATTCTCACTTCCCCCTGTCCCCAAAATTGAGTGTTTTATATTTGTACAAATATGTATGTTGCCTTCTCCTCCCAGGACATGTGTGGGGGGTCTCCTTCTAACTTCTTGGAGACTTTTTTTTTTTTTCCCACCTCTGCCTCCGTTTTGCTGTCTGCATGCCTGGTTTATTGATATGTACTGTGTCCAGCTTTCCATGGATTCTGGGGATTCAAACTCAGGTCCTCAAGCTTGCATTAGTAAATGGTTTTCCATTGAGCCATGTCCAAACCCCTCCCTAGCTTCCTGTGAGACACACGAAATAGAACTTTGAAGATTTAATAATACTAGAGCTATTTAATGTGTAAGCAAACTAGTCCTAAAATCTAATTTTCTTGAAGTTTTGCTACCTGCATACCAAATAGCTAATACTAAATCTGGCTTGAATGTATGTTCATTGCTTAAATTTTATTCCTTTCAAATAACTATTCTGTATTTTCCTTCATTGTACATTTTGAGGTCATTGAAGTACTCTGAGAAACAGATTTGTTTTTCTTCGGTAATTTTTGTATGACTTCACAGCTCTCTGTGGGTGTGGGATAAAGTTGTAAAGGCCTTTTCTAAATGTGCATTCACTTGTGTTTCTTTTCAATGACTGTCGCCTTCTGTACTGTTGTTCAGTCATTTGTTTCCTGGGATCCTGTGCAGGTCAAGACTTAGTTTCTACATGCCACAACTTGACTCCCTTTGGATCCTGAATATTGTCAGACAATACATGAGATATTTTCTGATGGCCTCTTCATTGCTTCTAAGAGATTTTATTATTTGAAAGCCCAGATCACTGTTAACACTGCTATTGTTTAGATACTATTTCTGACCTTACAGGAGGCTTATATTCTGATACATAATATAAATGTTACATTCTTATGAAGTCTTGTTCAGAGCTTGAAGTAAAATGTCTCTTTAATTAAATTCATGAAGACACTTAATCTGGGTAATGGCAGTCTCAGATGGTTAGAGCTAAGGAAACAGATTGGGTGGGGCTTTAAAGAATAATTAGTTACTTTTAGTTGCTATTGCTACAAACTTTTTGGTGACGCTGGAGATGCAAGATACCACACTCTACTAAATTACTTCCGTAGCCCCATTTTTTATGAACTTTTAATCTGGAACTAGTTTATGTAGGTTTTGGTAGTTTTTTTTTTTTTTTTTTTTTTTTTTTAGACAGGGTTTCTCTGGCTTTGGAGGCTGTTCTGGAACTAGCTCTTGAAGACCAGGCTATCTGGAACTCACAGAGATCCCCCTGCCTCTGCCTCCCGAGTGCTGGGATTAAAGGCAGGGATTAAAGGCATGCACCACCACCGCCCGGCCATTTTGGCAACTTTTATATTCTTTATAAAGAACACCTAGGATTGTTTAAGGTTCTTTTAAACAGTGAGTTTTGCCTGCCAAAGGATAGGCAGTTTTGAGGTAGGCTGCAGAACTGCCACCTTTTGTTGGAAATATTAATAGCTGATGGAGGACCATCATCTGTCAGTGAATCTCTGAACAATTGATGGGTTCATTTTTCTGCTTTAGGGATATTCTTGAGCTACATTTTTAAAAAGGGCAAGTGTGTGCATGAGTGTTGTGAGGCAGGTATGTACGGGTACTGGGAAAGTGTTGGATACCCTGGAGCTAGTTTTATATGTGGTTGTGAGCTTCCTTGTGTCCTGGGAACTGAATTCTGGTCCTCTGGAAGAACAAGTTTGCAGTCATAACCACAGAACTATCTCTTGAGCCTCTCTAACATTGTAAGTGAAGGAAATAGATGAGTGGTATCCTTTATTTTCTTTGCCATTTGTTTTAGATTCTCACTTTTCAATCAGTACTTATCACCACAATCAGCTCCTGTTTTTCAAATCATTTTTATTGCTAATGCTAATTATAATTAACTTTTTTCCCTTTCAAATCTTCAAGTTAAAATTACCGCTTTAGAAAACCTCAGTATAGGTTTGGATCCCGGGTTGTATAACTCATTGTTAAGTATTTGCCTAACATGTAGAGGCCTTCAGTTTGATTATTAGTATCACACACATACACACAAAAAAAAGGCAAAAGGAAAAGAGAGGAAGAAATAGGAATTGCTATATGCTGATCTTACATTAATAGTAATAATTTGTAGAGAATTCAAATGTAAGAATCATTGAAGCTGGGGTGATGCCTCATACCTGCAACTCTAGCATTTATCTCAGCAAAAAACCAAAACGATCACAAACAGGTACTTTTTCCCCCTCACTTTAAATGGAATGTATAGTTTTGTTTATTCCTTAAGTTTTTTGTTTTTTGAGACAGGGTTTCTCTGTGTAGCTTTGGAGCCTGTCCTGGCACTTGCTCTATAGACCAGGCTGGCCTCAAACTCACAGAGATCCACTTGCTTCTGCTTCCCCAGTGCTGGAATTAAAGGTGTGTACCACCAGTGTACTTTTTACTTTGGTATCTTAGAAAGTAATGACTTCCATATAATAATAGTAATTATTAAGTAGACTTCAACTGAAGTGTAGCCTTCATTACATAAAACCAGATTGACTGATTTGAAGCATTTTATTACAAATTATTTGAGATTTTGTTGAAAGGAATAAACTCTTAAGGTGATCCACTTACTTACTAAGAAAGCGTCATCTAAAAAGAAATCTCTGCTTTTCTTTTAAATGGCAAATACAGTATTTAATTCGAAGATCATGCCTAAAATCTTAACATAGTATGTGCCAGATATATGCTTAAATTTTTTTTTTTTTTGTCTTGACAGGAAATGCACAATTTTGAGGAGGAGTTAACGTGTCCCATTTGTTACAGTATTTTTGAAGATCCTCGAGTACTACCATGCTCTCATACATTTTGTAGAAATTGTTTGGAAAATGTTCTTCAGGCATCTGGTAACTTTTATATATGGAGACCTTTGCGAATTCCACTCAAGTGCCCTAACTGCAGAAGTATTATTGAAATTGCTTCAACTGGTATAGAATCCTTACCTGTAAATTTTGCATTAAGAGCAATTATTGAAAAGTACCAGCAAGAAGACCACCCAGATGTTGTCACCTGCCCTGAACATTACAGGCAACCATTAAATGTTTATTGTCTACTAGATAAAAAATTAGTTTGTGGCCATTGTCTTACTATAGGCCAACATCATGGTCATCCTATAGATGACCTTCAAAGTGCCTATTTGAAAGAAAAAGATACACCTCAGAAGTTGTTTAAACAGTTAACGGACACACATTGGACAGATATCACTCGTCTTATTGAAAAGCTTGAAGAACAGAAATGTCATTCTGAGAAAATGCTTCAAGGTGATAAGGAGGTTGTTCTCCAGTACTTTAAGGAGCTTACTGATGCATTAGAACAGAAGAAAAAAAAATTTTTGGCAGCTCTCTGTGATGTTGGCAAGCTGATTAATCAAGAATACACTCCACAGATTGAAAGAGTGAAGGAGATAAGAGAACAACAACTTGAGTTAATGACAGTGACTACATCTTTACAAGATGAGTCTCCTCTTAAATTTCTAGAAAAAATTGATGATGTCCGACAACGTGTGCAGATGTTGAAACGAAGACCACTTCCTGAGGCTAAGCCTGTTGAAATTTATCCTCGAGTAAGCAAAGTATTAAAGGAAGAATGGAGCAGAACAGAAATTGGACATATTAAGAAAGCTGTCATTCCTGAAATGAGAATTTCTTCAAGAAGGATGCCATGTTCCTGGCCTGACAAGGATGAAAAAGAAATCGAATTTTTTAAAATTTTAAATATTGTTATAGTTTCACTAATTTCAGTGATATTAATGTTGATACTCCTTTTCAACCAACACATAATCACCTTCTTAAATGAAATCACTTCAATATGTTTCTCTGAAGTCTCTTTGTCTGTTTACCAAAGTTTATCTAATAATTTATGTGACTTAAAAAATATGGTATGCTATCCTTTATATTTGTTAAAGGAATTCATGTGGAAAATAGTTTCTCGTTGAAAACCCAAATCAACAATTGTAAGTGGGCTTATTCTTTATTGCAGAGGCTTACCATTGCTAGATGGAAGTCAGGGTAGCATAAATAGCAAGCTTACATAGAAATATGATGAATCTTCCTTGGTTGGATAGAAATGGTGTCAGAAATGATACATTATCTGAAAGATAAATCAAATGATTTTTTATTTGAGTATTTTATTGGCTTGATAGTCAATGTTATATTCTGTTTAACAAGCTTTTGTTTTTTTAATGTTGTATGCTGCCGTAGTTAGCTTTCAGTTCTTTGTATATATAGGTATTAGATTAAAAAAACAAAAGCTCCTTGAGATCCACATGCCTGTTTTGACATGATTTGAAGCTTTTCAATGTGTAGATGGAGGTGGCAAGTTTTAAAAATCAGGCCAGGATTGCTTAAACATCTTCTTGGCCAAACATAATTGTTAATAAATTTAAGAGCATTCATTCCAAATAGAGCTTTTGGATAAATCAAGTGTGTAGTACTTGTTTTATATAAATAGATTACATTTAGGAGCCGAGTTTAATGGCTGGTGAATCTGAGTCAAGGTCAGCCTGGATATCAAGTGAGATGCCCAAAATGGAAAGGTCTGGTGGCAGAGCCCCTGTCTTGTCTACTGGCTCCAGCACCACAAAGCAATAAAAGCATATATTTTGCTTTTGTGGTGTTTTAAGTCTTGTTCTTATATAAAAACTGTAGGAAACGTGCATTAGCACAATCATGTTGACGTGATTCATTTAGTAGATCTGTTATCATGAAAACTATTTGTCTTAAAATGGTCTCACTGTAGCTCAAGTGCTGTAAATTACAAGTATGAAGCTGGCTAGTCTTAGAAGAGCTCATGAAGGCAGAACCTTTGATTTGATTCCCTTGACAGGAACTAGCATGTTTGCAGTGCAGCTTTGGTTCACTGCCATTGAAATGTTGAACACAAACTTGATTTTTATTCAGAAATCCCAAATGGGCTATTGAATCACCACTTCTGGGGACCTTATTTCAAAGGTCAGATTATTAGCCCTTTAGATTCACTATAGATAAAGCTGTATTCAAATTCAAGGTTAGAACAATGCTGAAAAGTTTATCGCTAAGATTAAGTCATTAGGTCCACTTAAACAGAATCAGATTTTATCTAGCAGTTACTATATCTCTATCTTGAGGCTGTTTGGAAGATGTAACAGAGGTGAAGGGAAACCATGTCCAGTTCTTCACAGATGCATGACACACTGGAGTGTTTTTAAATGTAAATATTAGCTAGCAAGCAAAGAATGTTAGCTAAGACATTTTTCAAGACGTTATCAACTGTATAAATGAGAAACATCATCAGAGCAATGCAGTGCCATATTAGGTGGGAGAACTCATTTTTCTCTGTATAATGCTTAAAAAAACTGGAGTAGATAGATTGTTTCATTGGAACCAATCTAAACAAGCATATGCCTAGTGTTGTTACCTTATATGCTTGGCAGTTTTTATTATACAACTCTTTGTTTTCTGGTAAGAGTAACTATATACTTAAAACTTTTATATTTTTACCAGGAGGTTGAGATTGTACAATTTAAAGTACACACATTTGGAAATCCTGGGCTTTGTGTGTAACAATATATTTGAATAAACTTGGTATTTTATTGAATGGCTTAGGAAGTGGTGGCTTTGGAATTTTCATACAGCTTCTGGCTTGTCTTTTTTTGAAGTTAGCTTTGAATTCCATCATACTAGTTATTAAAATTAGTTTCAATTTCACAATCATTTGTAGCATGTTTCTAATTTGTAGTGGCGTTATTTTGAATCATGTTCCATGGTAGGAGGCATTTGGCATTTAATAGGGCAAATATTTTGACCTACAAGATTTAGATATGCAAACAACTTGTTTTGTGTCCCATGTCATCCTGTGATTACACCCTTCTCCCCAGTTTTCTCTGCTGGAGTTTATGCATTAGCCTACATAGGTAGTCCATGATCCTCATATATGATACTGCCTGCCTCTGACCCTGGGACTACACTCAAGAGATGGTGTAATGTCTGTTATAGTTTAAATCAGAGTTTGAGGTCAGATGGGTCACACTGAACACAAAACCAAACCATTCTCACTGATCTTGCTCCTTGCTAGACACTAAAAGGAGAGCTGGTCCTGTCCCCAATGGGAGAGATGGCCTTGATGGCATGGCTGGGACTAGGGAGATCTGGCTCTGCCCCTCCCTGGGGGGTGGAGAGGGTCAGTTCCAGTGGCCTAAACCTACCAGCTCAGGTATCACCCAGACCTAAGCATCTGCCCCATCTATGACCTGCTGGAGCATGTGAAGGAATTGGTTCTAGAAAACAAAAACCATCTCCATGATTCAAGGGAACAGTGGGGTATCCTAAGATGAGTTTGTTTTCATCTTAAAGCAGTGTGTGAAAGACACCATGAGGCAGAGCTTGGGTGGAGGATTTTTTATTGGGGAAAAGTGAATGGGAAAAGTGGGGAGGGAAGACCAGCCTCTAGGGGTAGGAGTGGCAGAAGAGGATAGGCAGAGAGATATGCTTAAGAGGGGGGCGGAGAGAAAGATGGGAGGTGGGCAGGGCACTCTAAAAACTGGAACATGTTGAATGGTGCTTAGAGGTTGCACCTGAGGGTATATCCAGTCAGAACCCCAAGGACAGGCCAGTACAAATGCCTGAATACTAACAGTTTTGATGAGGGGCCAGTGATAATGGTATCTATCCAGAGGCCTTGAACAGGAACAACTACTCGTTGAGATGAATACTCTGCAGGTGGGCCTGATTGAACAAAAGGGTAAATTGTGATACACTGCAGCTCCTGATGAAGGACAGAGGAGCAAGATGGTTATTTTTGTTTTTTTAATATTTGGAGGACACGCTACAGGGGCGAAGGACTGGGAGTACATGATGTGAAATTCCCAAGGAATCAATAAAGAATTTATGTTAAAAAAAAAAAAAAACCAAACCACCTCATTTTATAATACAGAAATAGATACAATTTCAGACATTATCACTAATAACACAGAAACCATGTCATACAACTTAGAAAATGTACTTTATACAACTGAGTAAGGAATTATGTTAAAAAAAAAACCCAAACCAGCCAGACTCCTCATTTTATAATATAGAAATGGATACAATTGCTTCAGACATTATAAAACAGAAACCATTTGCCATACAACTTAGAAAAATTTACTTTATACAACTTAATCATTTACAGATAAAACCTAGAAATACTAAATCTAGGTAAATTAAACTTGAAGAATCTTCATATATTAAAGTTCAACAAAGTCCTTTAGATGCAATTTCTTTTGGGTTCACTGCAACACTTTTGGTAATATTGTATGTTTTGTAAATTCCAATAAGTCTATCTGAAATCTCAAACATATTATTCCGAAGAGAAATTATTATGAACTGGGCATTTTTTGTTTGCTCCTAAAAAGAAAAAGAGGAACAGTTAAGTCACAATAAATATGCAAACATTAATCCACAAAATTTTCGGACAATAATTCTGACATAGATGGTTAATGTAATGATTGCCTGGATAACGGACAATTCATGAAAGTATTTAAGATTGACAGGAATTTTTGTAAATTGAAACTCCTGATAGCAAGAAATAAAACACAAAATTCGCAGATTTACTCACATATATGTAAAATGCAACAATGGACACATTTTTAAAATCCAGTGCTGCATCGATCTCATCCATGAAGTAGAGGGGAGTGGGTTTGTAGTGGTGCAGAGCAAACACTAAAGCCAATGAACTAAGGGTTTTCTCTCCTCCTGAAAGGTTAAAAATCTTCTTCCAACTTTTCTTAGGTGGCCGAACACTGAAATAAGAACGGATAAAACTTGAAGACAGTGTTTCCCATAATTAACACTAAGCACTTTTCCTTGCTAAATCTGTATGTTGCTTTTCACAAATATTTTGGTTTCCTGAACAGGGTGATCTCAGTAGATAATGACTTTTATTTTTCTTAAAACTTGTGATCCTTCTTCCTAAACCAATTGAGTGCTGGGTTTATATGTACACACCCGCCATGGCCTGGCTGTTGGCGTTTTTTGTATCTAGTTACTTTACAGAAAGGTTACTGGAAGATGAACATATTAGGAGCATCTACCATAATTTTAAGATTTAAACAATAAGCTATAGCTACTACTTTTCTCTTAATGAATTTTACAATAAAAAGTGTTTGGTGTTGATGAAGGCCTTTCTACCTTGTCGGACAGTCATTTCATTGCTGCTAAGCCTGGCTACCTGGCTTGTGCTCTGTTTCTGCTCCTATCTCCCAGGATTAAAGATGATTGCATTATCAAATCTGGCTTTGAAGATAAATTTTTTTTTAAAAGATGATCTAGATATTGTATAATTTGCATATTTTATTTTATTATTATTATTTGGTTTTTCGAGACAGGGTTTCTTTGTGTGGCTTTGGAGCCTATTCTGGCACTCATCTAGAGACCAGGCTGGCCTCAAACTCACAGCGATCCACCTGCTTCTGCCTCCCGAGTACTGGGATTAAAGGCATGTATCACCAACGCCCGGCTGCAAATATTTTATTCTGTAAACTGACAAGCACATAAACGAGTTGGTATTTATCACCAAATAAAAGAACCTTCATACCACACTCCCAAGAAGTATTAAGGATTTAGAAAAAATGTAGTATTCAAATCTTACAAACCTGAACATGATTCCTTCAGAAAAAGGATCCAAACTATCCACGAGCTCTAGTTCAGCATCTCCTCCCAAAGTAAGCATCTGGTAGTTTTCCTTTAATTTATTTGTTATTATATAAAAACCTGCCATAAATTCATTCAGTCTTTGCTTTCGAAGATCTTCATATGCTTGTCTAAAACTATCTCTTTCAGAAGTAATTTTGTCCAATTCTGCTACTCTTTGCAAATATAATTCTTCCTGTGAAGATTGTAAAATAATGTTTACACACAAATCTTGAGAATTAGCATTGCTCATTTTGCAAAATCAAATAACTTATTTTAGACTATTAGAAATAATTCCCTCATACCTTTTTTTTATACTCTGCAATGGCACCAAGATTTGGTTTCATTTCATGACACTGAGCTTCCAGGAGTGCAATTTGATTTGTTATAGAATCTGGATTCTTGATTGCCTCAAGATCCTCTGGGCTTAGAACAGATACCGTCTCAACAGGACTGTCTTCTACAGGATGCAATTTTATTTTTGAAATCTAAGGAGAATTGAGAAGAGATAAAAACCAGGATGACCTTATTTTTATTTGTGTGTGTGTGTGTGTGTGTGTGTGTGTGTGTGTGTGTGTGTGTGTGTGTGTGTGTGTGTGTACATGTCATGTTTGTAGATGCCAGAGATCCTAGAAGAGGGTCATCAGATCCTGTAGAGCTGGTGGTTGGTTTAAAGCCATTTGATGTGGGTGTGGGGAACCAAGCTATGGATCCTCTGTAAAAGCTGCAGGTGCTTGTAACCACTGGACTATCTCTCTAGTTCTCAGCTTATTAAGTCTAAACATGAAAAAATGACAGTCACAAAAATAGTAATGAACCATGACTACTTAGCACACAAGTGCTGGGCTGAGAAGGTACTGGCACTATTCTAAAGATCACTAATTTTTATGTACTTATTAAATCTAAAGTGTCTATTATATCCCTTATAAATGAAAAGTGATTATGGAATAAAGAATCATAACATACTTCCAAAACTAGAAAAAACACCCACTCCTACAATACAAAAGTCTTTTTAAAAAAATGGACATGAGTGTTTTGTCTGCATGTATGTATGTGCACCATATGTGTGCCTGGTGTCCTAGGAAGATGGGAAAGGGTGTTGGATTTCTCGGAACTGGAATTACAGATGGTTGTGATCTGACACATGGCGCTAGGATTGAACCTGGGTCTTCTACAAGAGCAGCAAGTGTTCTTAATCAAAGAGCTATCTCTCCAGCCCTCAGAAAGGCTCTAAAATTAATTAAATGGCAGTATCTCACCTCCTTTTGCCAGTATTTTATCTTAGAATTATGTTCAGCAATCTGGCCATCAATTTGCTCAAGCTTCAACTTAATACTAAGTGCATCTTTCTGAAGAGCATGTTCATTTTCTTGAATAACTTTTAGTTCCTGAAGTAGATTACGATGTTCTTTCTGGATTTCTGGCAATGACTCCTAAAAATCAAGAAGAACTGTGACAAATACCATCTCCACAAGTGAAATAGATATTTTTACATTACATTGTTAGCAATTTCTCTTCATGACTCACTTTAATAAAAATTTTGATTCACAGAAAGCTCTCATATTTTGCTATACACAAATTTTAACTTACACCAACACTTGTTGTTGCTTCAAATGTCATCTGTCCTGTAACACAGAAACATATCTTACCTCTGCAGTATTTGTAGTTTTTATGACCTCTTCTGCTTTGTCTTCAACATTTTTTAGTTCTGCTCTTAAGTCATTTGTTTCTTTCTCAGTGTCTTTTATTTCTTTTTCTGTACGTAATACAGAATCTTGTGCCTTTTTAAGATTTCTAAAGAAGCAAACAACAATTTATGACATTTACCGGAATTTGTGATTTACCGGAATCATCCTCAGTTGTATGTTTTACTAAAAATTTCCATTAAGCCTCCTCATGTAAGCATCTAGTAGACTTTGTTGCAGTAACCTAATAGATTATAAAACTCTTTTGACATCCAACAAGGTTTTCTTCTGAGACAAGGTCTCTCTTGGAACTCACAGAAATGTGCCTGACTCTGCCTTATGAGTTCTGGTGTTTTGGGATTACAGGCTTGTGCCACCATGCCCAGCTCAGTGAGTTCTTTCTTTTTTCAAAACTATCTTCAAGCATACTTTCTGCTGCTAACAAATGATTTCCTAGTTTCTTTCTTTTAGCTAAATGGATCAACAGATAATACATAAATAAAAAATGTTTGTAAAAGATTTGATTTAGAGCTTTTTTTCTTACCACTTCCTGTTTCAACTACCTAGCTATGGTATATCTACTTTTCTATGCTAGAGAAACAAGACTAATGTCTATGCTTTGAAAAACTAGGATATGATATTCCAACTTTTCTAAGGCATACCCTGTTTATCAGTTTATTGTTTCTTCTTAAATTAGACAAATGATAAATCTTCATTTTAAGCTTTTTCCTTTTCAAAGCATTGCTGGATAGTGGGAGTGAAATTTAGTAACTAACATCCAATGCAATACTAACTACTCTTTGCATTGTCCAGGCAGGGATGATGGCAAGCAAGGAAGTACACACTCTACCTGTCAGCAGTCTTGATTGCTACTTGGGCTTTAGTAATAGCAGAAGCACATTCATCCAGTTGCTTGTTTATCATATCCAGTTTGTTTTGTTGGGTCTTGAGTTTTCGGTTGTTGATTTCTATGATGGTATCATGTAACCGTTTAACCTCAGCTTCTACTTTACCAGCTTTCTCAGCCACAGCATCATATTCTGAAATTAAAAAATGGCACAGTTGAATTCATTTTTCTATGTTAGTAACTATCGTTTGGTGGATATAGATTTTTTTCAATTAATCTGATACATGGTATCAAATTTCAGGTATTTAGGGAAAAACTTAGAACACCTTTTTAAAAAAAACAAATGGTATTTTAACATACAAAGTTAAACTCTGGTTAAGCTGCTCAACACATTTCTTTCTTTTTGTAAAAATTATGTATATTCTGCTTCCATGTATATCTGCACACCAGAAGAGGGCACCAGATCTCAACAGGGACGATTGTGAGGCACCATGTGGTTGCTAGGAATTGAACTCAGGACCACTAGAAGAGCAGTCAGTGCTCTTAACCTCTGAGTCATCTCTCCAGCCTCACATTTATTTCTTAATGGTTTTATTTTCTCAACCTTTCTTAAAGCATTTCACTGAATGTTTGATACATGACTTTTTCCCTAAGACTAGCTTTTTTCAGGTCTGGAGAAATTGGGTATTTCCTTTTGCTTAATTAAAATAGTCCTCCACATTATTACACAGTGAAGGTCACAAGATGATTGGTGGGTCTTCCCTGTTCTAAAAACATGTTATCCCAGGTCTACTTAGGTCAAATCAACTGAAGTTAGCTGTGCAGTGTAGAAGGCAAAAATGATGAACTTCCCGGCTTTGGCTAGCAAGTCAGTTCCTTAGTATAAGCAGTGACTGATTTTGATGATGTGGACTACATTAGGTGGAGTTGCAGTAAAACTTTTCAAAGATGTAACTTGAAAGGACAGTAGTTCCTTTGATGGTAGTGATGGAAATTATTCTTTTTCTCTTTCGAGACAGGGATTCTCTGTGTAGCTTTGTAGACCAGGCTGGACTGGAACTCAGAGATTCGCCTGCCTCTGCCTTCCAAGTGCTGGGATTAAAGGCGTGCACCACCACTGCCCAGTGGAAATTATTCTTTAATGCTGAAACTAGAAACTTATAAAACAACCCATTATGGCAGTACACACACACACACACACACACACACACACACACACACACACATTATCAATTGCCTCTGCAAATATAAGCTACAAATCTGTTGATAGAATTATTTTACTTGATGTGATATATGCTTGGGAGCTCCAATTTGTCTGCCCCATCATTACAGCAATTGGCACACAGCTGAATCTCTTCCTAGAAAGATTCTTTATCCTTTTCCTTGTTCTCAAGTATCTAGTACACATCCTCTGTAATATGTTGTAGGATAATCGTTTTGTACACTGTAAAGATGTGCTTCTGCCTAACACACCTTTTGATTGGTTTAATAAAGAGTTGAATGGACAATAGCTAGATCAAGACAGTCTAAGTAAGACTACAAAACCAACTACACTTACAACTTTCCTTTCTTAAAGCTTCTATTCTAGCAGATATGTGTTATAACAAACGTTGAGGAAAGCATTTTTAGTAAGTCTTCAAATAAGTAGTTTTATTGTGTTTTTGCTGTGTGCTCCTGAGTAATTTACTTAAATTAAGGACATGAGCTCTGGAATCAGAGCATGCTACCCATTCTCCTATTAACCATATGCCATGTGACTCAAACTATATAAACCACTTAATGTTTTAATTTTTTTATTTGTCAAATGAATTTGTGGAGACTAATTTATAAAGTTGTATGAATTAAACAATACCAAATGCTAAATTAAATCAGCATAATAACTTACAAGTGATTTGCCTATAATTTGTTATTCTGCAAACTGCTTGAATACTGCAAATTTTAAAAATCCCCGCCAAAAATTTATTAATTATTTTGTTTTTTCAAGACAGGGTTTCTCTGTGTATCTTTGGAGCCTGTTCTGCAACTAGCTCTCATAGACCAGGCTGACCTCAAACTCATGGAGATCCACCTGCTTCTGCCTCCCAAGTGCTGGGATTAAAGGTGCAACCTAAAAAATGTATTTTTAAACATACCTTTTTTGAAAGCACTGACATTTTCTTCTAGCAATTTCTGTTTCTTTTTATCTGGAGCTGTAGTAATCACATTAGCTTCCAGTTCTTTAATCTGTAAAGCCAAATACTCTTCTTGTTCTGATAAACCCTAAAAAGAAATAAAAAATAAAAAAATAGCATTTATATGGTTAATAGTTTAGCTTAGTAACAATAAATATTTCTTTGGACACCAAATTTTTAGAAAGACATTTAAAACAAAATGTGTGCAAATCCATTACAAAGATAATGAGTTAGAACCAACAGTTTGGTATGAGCAAGAAGCACTTTAAAACAATGAAACACAACTAATTTTAATTTCAGGAACCTATCTTAAGGAAATAATTAGATGTGTAATGGATTAACTATATCCCATCACCTGGGAGACAGATCTCTGTGAGTTCGAGGCCAGCCTGGTCTACAGAGTGAGTGCCAGGACAGGCAGGGCTACACAGAGAAACCCTGTCTTGAATACCCTGCCCACTCAAACAAAAAGAGAAAAACATGAAATATGGCAAACCAAGTAAATTAAGATATTAAGGAAAGAAAAGTTAATGACACTAAAAAGATGTATATAGTCTTTATACACAAACACATACATACATACACACATACGTATATACCGCATGCAACTAAATTATAAATATTGAAGCCCATGCATTGTAGTTGAAGGTTAAAAATCTAGGTGTTTACTGAATGTTACTTTAAAACAGAAACAACTGGCTGCTGTAAGTAAGTGTACATGCCTTTAATCCTAGCACTTGGGCAGCAGAGGCAGGGGGATCTCTGGTCTACAGAGTGGGTTCCAGGCCACCAGAGCTACACAGTGAGACCTTATCTTGAGAAAATCAAAAGAAAAATAAACAAAACAATTGGTATTATTACCTTTTCATACCAAGAAAACAGGTCACTGTTCGGAGTGATACAATAATTGGTAACATAGTTGCTAAGCACAGTCACATTTCTAGAGTGGAAAATAATCATCCTTTATATTTCAAAATTGGAAACAAACCCAGTCACTATTGAATTTATTCAAATAATAACACAAACACAGTACCTGGATGCTGGCAGTGAACTTTTCTAGCGTATTTCTCATTTCTCGTTCACTATGCCTTAACTTAATGACTGCTTCTTCATGTTGTACTTTCTGCTCTTGGATTTGCATTGCTTGTTTAGAATGCCTTTCCAACTGGGATTCCATCTTATTTACCTTGAGAAAAGGGAAAAAAATGAAATTTTTGTAGTATATATACAGGCATATTATACCTTGGCATGTACATTAAATGTAAGAGGTCAACCTGTGAGAGCTAGTTCTAGGGACTGAACTCATGTAGCAAGGCTTTGCAGAAGGGGCCTTTACCCACTCAATCATCTTGTCTGCCCTCGAAGACTCAGTTCAGAGTTAACTTACAAACTGAAAAAACCCAGGGCTGGAGAGATGGCATAGCAGTTAAGAGCACTCCTGTGGGCTAGTTTGTTTTCTAGCCACTATATAGTGGCTTGCAACCTCCTATAACTCCAGTTCCAGAAAACCCAATACCCTCTCTTGGTCACCAGGCATACACATGGTGCACAGATGTTAAAATCCGTACATACAAACAAACAAAACAAAAAAACAAAAAAGGGAAAGAAAAAGCCCAAAATTCTAATATTAAAGACTAAAGTAAAAGCCAGAAGTAGGGGTGCACATGTGGATTCTCAGCTACTCAGAAGCTCGAGAGGAAGATTATGAACTGGAGGCCAGCCTGACCTAACACAGGGAGACATGCAACCAAACAAGCCACTCCAACCCCCCCAATACTAAAGCTTAATACATGGTCACCTATTATTTTAATGAAAACATGGCAAACATAGGAGGATATCAACAATTTCAAAATAGAGGACAGAAACTAAATGCACCTTTTGGAGAAAGAAATCCAGGCTAAGAACAGATCTTGGTGGCTGATTTCATAACTCCCAAAGGCTAGGCAATTACCATACTACTGTTCTGTATACCTACCTACCAAGATCCCCAAATCTTTTTTTTTTAAAAAAAGATTTATTTATTTATTTATCATGTATACAGTGTGTGCCAGAAGATGGCATCAGATCACATTACAGATGGTTGTGAGCCACCACATATGTAGTTGTTGGGAATTGAACTCAGAACCTCTAGAACAGTCAGTGCTCTTAACCCCTGAGCCCCCGCAAGCTTTTAAAAGTAAAATTTAGAAACATGGATGAGAAGCCTTTGAAATACCTGAAGTACTTTGAAATTCAAAAAACCATAGTAATTCTGTGAAATAAATGATATTAAGTAATTGCCTTATTATGAAAAATCTGTATGATACTAACGTATTAATTAAAAGATCTACACATTTAGTTTTATTCATTTCTAATTGTATGCTAGGGATCAAACCTAGGGCCCGAGGCATGCTAGGTCAATGCTCCACTACTTTAAATATATGCTTTTTAATTCTTGTGTTTTGCACTTCAGAAAGCACTCAACACAATAGCTAAAATTCATGTAACAAAATCTGTTAACTAAAAACTGGGTACGGTACCATTTACAATAGCTACATTTTGCACTAAGCTAAAAATAAAGTGACCATTACTATACATTATGCTAACCTCTTCTTCAGAGATTTCCACGATAACAGATGAACCCATTCTTCCTTTCATTACTTTGCTTCCACCGCCAGTCATTGTACCTAGGGAACAAAGGAGAAATCAGTTTTAAATGTTTTACTAAAGATAAAAGATTGGTAGGGAAAAAAACCCAACTTACCTGACTGCTCTATGATTTGACCCTGTAGAGTTACTACTCTCCATCGTCTATCTTTTTGATATGCTACTCTTGTAGCTTGATCCAAATTGTCAGCCACTAAGGTATCTCGTAAAGCAAAGTAAAAAGCTTGGCGAATTTCCTCATTGTTTACTTTAACTAAATCAAATAATCGAGGAGTATTCTCAGGAGTTTGTATTTTGGTCATTTTTTTGGCCCATACTGCCATCTGAAAGTTAAAGAATTGTGCATGTATTAAACAATCTTGACTTCTAGGTGTTGTAATTCTAAATAAAATCTTATCATGGTTCTGTATAAAACTCCCAAGTATTGGTTTTAGTTAGCAATGAATCTTAATTTTTAGTAGCAAAGAGTATAACATGGTAACAAAAACCAGTAAGCTAAAAACATCACAATGCATTAGACACCTACATTTAAGAGCTAAAATCTATAAAACTCAGAATCATCAAGCACTCATAACCCTACCACTTGGAATACAGAGAGAGGATTGCTCCAAATTCAAAGTCAGTCTGGTTTAGATACCAAGTTTCAGATTATCCTGGAATACACAGCAAGATCTTGTCTAAACATACACCTCTACACAATAAGCTAAAGAAAATACTGTTAACTGGGCCATTTGTGCATCAAAGCACACAATCAAGAAAGTGAAAATACAACCCAACAAATGGTAGGTTTAAATTAAAAAAAAAAAAAAATCTACAGCTATATAAATAAGCTGGACAGTGACAGGGCATGCCTTTAATGTCAGTCCTTGGGAGGCAGAGGCAGATCTCTGGGAATTCGAGGCTAGCCTGGTCTAGATATCGAGTTCCAGGATAGGCTCCAAAGCTATAGAGAAACCCTGTTTCAAAAAAAAACAAAATTAAAAAGCATGTATCTGACAAAAGAGACTTGTATACACAATGTAAAGGGTTTTTACAATTAAACAAGACAAACCAATGAAAACAGGCAAATGGTAGGTTTAAATTTAAAAGAAAAAGAAAAAATCTATATATAACTATAGAAATAAACCTTTAATCCTAGTACTCAGAGGCAGAAAGAAGCAAGCTGATCTATTCGAGTTAGAGGCTAGCCTGTCTATAAAGTGAGTTATAGGACAGCCAGGGCTATGCAGAGAAACCCTGTCTCAAACTCTTCACACCCCTGAAGAAACATAACAGTCACTCACTCATCCCCTGGACATCTTCCTAACCCTGGAATTTCTTTAGTGGAGACATTACAAAATTTATTTTTTTAACCTCTAAAGTCATGTATGTACGCACAGAATCTAAAATAATTTTCAAAACTTACGAGGGAGTAATTGAATAAAGGTGAAGAAAAATCTAAAGGAAAAATAGGACACTTCAAAGTTAAATTACAGGAACTTACCTTATCCAAACCTATAAAAGTTGCAACACCAATGTTATGTCTTTTAAGGAAGTTCACACATTCTTGGGCTGTATCAATAGAATCAACCACAATGTAGTCTAATGCATGGCAACAGGATGAAATAGCTATGTCATATTTTTCATCAATAGCTCCCAAGTCTCCCTAATAATTAAAAGGAATAGAAAGTTAATTTATAAAAAATTAGATTTAAAAAAACTACAGATAATTTCGTTACTGTTCAGACTTTGAACTTTTTTTTTTTTTGGTTTGTGTAGCTGAATACTGAGCACAGGACCTTGTACCACTGAACTGAGCTAAGTACCAAGCCTTTGAATGCTATTCTCAAACCACTCTTTTTTTTTTTTTTTTTAAATACTCCAAGACTCTGTGTGTGTAGCCCAGGCTGTCCTGGGACTTGCTCTATAGACCAGGCTGACCTTGAACTCACAGAAATCAGTCTGCCTCCAACTGCTGGAAGTAAAGGTGTGTACCGCCACCACCTTTGCCTGTCCTTTAAACCATTCTTAATGGGAAGACTAATAAATATATTTAGTTTAAAGAAGCATAAAAGTGGACAACACAGAAGCTACTTTGTGCCTTATAAGCAAGCATCCTACCACTGAGCTACATCCAAGGCCCTATAGTTTCTAATCTACCCTTTAGTGTTTTTGGCTATGTGATGTGACACAGGATATAGGAATATATCTTATTCCATGAAAGCATATAATGTGGATATGAGACCTAAGAGAACATACAGCAAAACAAATCTTTTACCTTTCATAAAGTTACCTAGAATTAAATAAGTAGCCGTGAATTAATTTATCACTTAGCTATCATCCTGCAGCTTTCACTGAATAACTTTAGTTCTTCACAGCAACTAAACAGGATCAATCTGTTTATTTTTAAGAAAATATGGTAGAAGCCACCTAATATCAGATATAGAAGCAACCATACTGATTAAATTCTATTTGTCCTTCCAGGTCATTCTGTTTCCTTTTCCAGAAGGCTGAGTAGGGAACCCATCAACTGGCTCTTTGGGCTCAAGAACTTTAAGCAAAAGAAGTCTCAGTTATGGTTGCCGGGCAAGAGATGACTAGAATTGAGATACTTACTTCTATTCTTCCAAATCATATACTGCTCTTTCCAGTTAATGATCAGAAAGGTAATGGTCCCCACAACTGGAATGACCAGAATTCTAAATTAGCTAGTTCCCCTTCTTAAGCCACAAACAAACTGTTAAGTATAGTGTTAGAAATCCTTATTTTTGTCTGGAGGTTCTAGCAGGGAAGTGCAACTATCATACACCTTCAACCAAAAAAACCCAGTCCTCTTCTAACTGGATGATAGGTCATCTTATTTGAGTGTTTTGTGTAGCTTTAGGAAGGACACACTTGGAATGGCGAGGGAGAAACAGTGACTAAGCATAAGTCTATTCAGCAGGATCGTTAATGGACATCTCTCAGCAGTATTGCTTCATATCCTAAAACTGCTTTTGTTTTTAAGATATGGTCTCATTATGTAACTCTGGCCAGCGTAGGACTCAATATGTAGACCAGGCTGGTTCTGAACACAGAGATCTGACTGACTCTGCCTCCCTAGTGCTGGGATTAAAATATGCACCACCATATTCAACTTCTAAATAATTACTTTTTTGAAAAAGGTTTTCTTGTGTGGTGCCAAAAGCCTAACAATAGGGAGGCAGAGGCAAATTGGCTCAGAAGCTCAAGGCCTACCTTAGCTACATAGTTAGTTTGAAAGCCAATCTGAGTTATATGAAATCTTGACTCAAAAATGTTCTTAGATTAGTTTTGGAGGGACCGGGCAGGAACATAATGTATAAAATGAATATAAACAGCCCCAAACTACATAATGACAATAAATCTGTAAGAGCAAAATATTTTGTCTATGCAGTTGTCTTCCTGAAATAAGAAAGAATGTTATTTTAGGCATAGCAACAATATATACTGAATACATTAAGAATATAATTTATAATGTCTTTTCTGAGTAAAATATAATCTACTTTACCAATCTTCCATATATTCCTGGGATCCTGCCAGATTTTTTTTCTTGAATTATTGCATCAAGTACTTTCCCCCTACTTCGATTCATTGCTAAGGAACTCTTTGCTTCTTCAACTTTTTGGAAAAGATCATGAACCAAAGTTTTCAAGTTTATTTCTTCTTGTGTTAGTTTCTGAAGTTCTTTTTCTTTCTAAAAGTGAGAAGAAAAAGAAACCTAGAAGCATTTGATCTTAAATATACCCAATAATAGCAGAAAACTATTTGTAATGCTTCAATAATAAGAGAGGTCCCAAAACAGCATATGAACTGGCACTGAGCTTCCATATTGCTATTTTGGCCTGGCTTTGAAAATGTAGATGAGTTGTTCCTATTTTAGTGTAAATTATTTGTGTCAACAAGAGGAATCCAGCACTCTTAAAGTAGCTACAGGTATAAAAACCCCAGTCTGGTACCACAAAGGTAGAAGTATGTACCAGTTCTCAAGTTCTGACCTAAAAAAACCAAATCCAGAAACCAGATTCCAGGTACATGTAGCTGGGCAATACTATGGTTATATTATGGCTTTTTGGCTAAGTAAACAATAAAACAAAAAGGCACAGTTCCTAAGTAGAGGGGGAAATATGATCGGGATAGATACCAACCAGAGGATCCACACATCCAAATTTAGTCTGCCAGTTTCCAATTTAGAAACAATAGTCTTATGTAACTGCTATTTTCCCCCATTCCTTATTACACAGGCATAAAGTAAAAGCTCAAATTATAAACAACCCCAAAACAAATCATTAGAAAGACAAATATTCTCTGGATATAATTTAAATTACATTTAAAATCTACATATCAGGAAACTGATGGTCAAACAGTATAAATTTACTAAAATTTAAAAATACTTATTTTGAAGGCTGGAGAGATGGCTCAGCAGTTAATATCATATGGGTTGCACTGCTAAAAGGCCTCCTTTAAATTCCCAGCACCCACATGGTGGCTCACAATCATCTATAACTCATGGGATCAGATGCTCTCTTCTGGTGTGCAGATTTACATGCAGACAAAATACCCATATACATACATACATACATACATACATACATACATACATACATACATGTATATATATGTATATAAATCTTAAAAACTAAACAAAACTTATTTTTAATTATATATATATCTGTGTATGTATATGTGTCTGTGTGTGTGTTTGTGCGCATGCGCATGCAGGTGTCCCTAAGTCCAGAAAAGTACTGGAACTCCTGGGGCTAGTTACTGGCAGTTAGGAACCACTCAATGTGGCTTAGCAGATACAGGCATTTGCTGCTCTTATAAAGACTAGTTCCCATTACCCACATTCTGAGGATAAACTTTTTAAAGAAACTCTTAAATTCATTTTCATTTATCTTTATACGAGTCACCTACATTTATAGATTTAGAGAAATACCTCACCCCCCCCAACAGGCTTAGCTTGGAATCCAATATATAGCCAACACTGGCCTTGAACTGATCGTCTAGCCTCTACCTCTCAAATGCAAACATTCCTGGTTCTAAGTGGTGCTGGGGAATCATAGCCAGGGTTTCACACTCCCTAGGCAAATACTACTCTACTCAACTGAGCTACATATGCAGCCTGAGACGTCTGTTCAATATTTTCCCACAGGATTGTGGCAGCATTATTTATTGCTTGCTTTTGGAGACAGCACAGTTAGTTTCCTCAAATTTTGTTTTTGGATGTACTGGGGACAGAACCCTGGGCCACATACACGCTACAGAAGCTTTCTTGTTAGTGACCTACACCTCTAACCCTAGTTAATTTTTAGCTCATTCAAATACTGAAATACTTTCTCATGCAAGATTATGTGGAGAAAACTATCTGCCAATCACTTTAAACCCCAATATTAAAAACAAACAAACCAAGAACAATAACAATGAAAGACCCACATATAACTCTGGGGGGTTGACAATGTTTGGATGAAATATAGAGGCAAAACTTTACCTCCTTTAATTCTTGGTGAGCCTGAGGGAGCTTTGTGTTTATATCTCCGATTGCAGCTTTCCTTTCTTTGAGAGTTTCAGACGCTGTAATTAAAGCTTCCTTCGCCTTATTTAGTTGAGACACTGCTGTATTATGTCGACTGAGATAGATATCAAGTTCTGACTGAGCAACTTCCATCTTTGAACGTGCTTCATTTACTGATTTGTTAAAACCCATAAGTTCCTTTTCACAACTCTATCAAAATAAGTTCATTAAATACAAAATATGTTATTTTCAAGCTTAGACCAAAATGAAAATTATACTTCCTGAGGGAAACTTAAGAAAGGAAAGTCTATAAATATAGTAGGGATCAAGAGAGAATTCTTAAGTGGAATAGATTAAGGTGGTCCATATATGGTTGTCATCATACACTATTCATTGTCTTTCCTAACTGATGTTATATTATGAGTTTTTACAAGAGGCTATTTGCATGGTCATTTCAGAAATTAAAATAAAAGGTAATAATTAAGGAAAACTTTACACTTCAAAGTCCAGATTCCATATTGTTTCTACATTACTGAGTGTAAGAACTACTCTTCTGCTTCCTCAAATGTATTTATGTTGATATATATTTATGTTGAATATATATATATTCATTCCAGAAGGAGAAAACAGAAAATAGTGTAGAGACTTAAGTTTTAGGTATGCTAAACTAAAAAGTTCAACAGTTTGAGACAGTCTTTGTTATGTAACAGAAGTTTGCTTCTGCCCCCCCAAAAGTTCAACAGTTTGAGACAGTCTTTGTTATGTAACATAAGTTTGCTTCTGCCCCCAACAGTCAAGTTAGGAAAAAGACACCAAAACCATCACTGACAAAGACTCTTACCTCCTTTTCTTTCTGAAGCCCTTGTGTTTCCTGTTTAAGGCTATCCATAACTTCTTTCAATTTTTTTTCTTCTTTTTCTCTTTCTTTCTCAAGGGAATTGTTTTTAGTTGTTGTCTCATTTATGATATCCTTACTCTTGGCAGGTATACTTTTCAGCTCTTCAACCTGGGATTATGAAATAAATTAAGGTTATGGAAATATATTCCTGAGGGTACCCAATACTATTAAAATGTACCTAAACAATTTTAGGACCTCTATTCATAGTTATCTGAATACAACACACAGCAAATTATCTTTGCTCCCTCAATCCAATTGTAAGATCTTTTAAGAACTTTACCTTTCAGAGGTACTAGGTAGAATTAATATTTTGTCCAGATATCTTCTGGTAGTAATCATATATTGACATTTTATTCCTAAAAACTAATGCCTCAGGGCTGGAGAGCTGTCTTGCAGTTAAGAGCACTTGCTGCTTTTCCAAGTCCAAGTTCTTTGAACTTAGATCCTCACTCAGGTGCTCACAACTGCCTGTTAATGCCAGCTCTAGGGGCTCATACATATAATAATAATTAAAAAAATAAAAAAAGCTAATGTCTTCATAGAATTTGAGCATTTTTGTTTTTCAGTATTTCATGAAACCTTTATTAAGCTACACTGAGTACAAATACATTTGGAAAACCCTTAAAGGTGAAATAAAAACTGAGTCTTGGGTGTCATGTTATCTATTAATATCTATCTGATTAAGCTATGATTATAACTTGAGACACCAAATTACTCATTTTTACTTTTTGGTCCTATCTATCTATCTATCTATCTATCTATCTATCTATCTATCTATCTATATATCTGATACTTTCTTACTTCTAATTTTATGTGTATGAGTGTTTATTGAATGTCTGTCTGTGTGCCACATGCATACAATGCCTACAGATGTCAGCAGAGGTCATTTGAGACCAGACTAATAGACAGCTGTGAGCTGACACGAGGGTACTGGTAGCCAGTGATCACTAAGCCATCTTTCCAGGCCACAAAATTCAATTTTAAAACTTTAACCCCAGAATAGAGAGTCTGTCACCTATATGCCTTTTCTTTTTGCTAACTCTGTTGCAGAAGGCAAGTATTACTCTAAAGTTTGTGGGGTTGCTAAGAATGCTCAGTGAGTAAAGGCATTTACCCACAAGGTGAAAGGAGTAAACCAACTAACTCCCTTAAGTTGTCCACTGACCTCAGACACATGTAATAGCACACATGTGTATGCAGACACAAAAGTAATTTTTTTTGGGGGGGGTTTAAAAACTGTAATATCTAATAAAAAACATCCTCTTTAGCCACCATTACTAACCAAGCAGAGAGAGAGAGGCAGGAGGATCTAAGTGAGTTTGAGGCCAGCCTGATACATACAGTGCGTTCCAGGCCATCAAGTGCTACATAGTGAGAGCTTATCTCCAAAATAAAAAACAACAAAAACATAAAATATCCCAAAATCCCTTTACACATTACTATTTTAGGAAAAAGAAAATTATCACCACCATAGAAACAGAATTGCTAACTGGGTGGACATTATTACTAATGTAAACTCTGAAACTCATAAACTTGGGACAAAATTGTGTTAAGACATAAAATACTTTTATAAGCATCCCAATTTATCTTCTTAGGGAACTAGAGTCAAGCAAATTAGGGAAAACAACTAGATCTGGTATTTAGACTTGAAAAATTGATTTCCCCCAATACCTACCTTTTCTTTATCTTTTTGAAGTTGTTTCTCCAGTTTTTTGGCTTTACTTGTAGCATGCTTTAATTTTTCCCTAAGTTGAACATCTTCTAAATCTAGCTTTGTAAATTTTTCTTTATTCTCTTCAATAAATTTTATAACTTTATTGAGTTTCCTATCAAAGAAAGTAAGTATCAGTCATAGACACATAGACTTTCTGGTATATTTCCTCCACAAACATGTCAAAACTCCTTTTAATTAGAATCCTAAAACTTCTACACTGATCTTCCCTGATAGCTGACAATTTTTTTTTTTTTAAATCATGAGAGCTGTCTTTCATTTCTAAGGTGGAAAGACTGTTCTTTTACTATGTCTAGGTATATAAAAAATTGTCCATAAAAATTAAAGAAATGAAGCTCACTCAAAGATACTATTGTCACTGAAAGTTGGCATAGAATAGGGCCATGATAATTTTTAAAGTCTACCTAAAATAACCAAAATTCTATTTCAAAACCAAATTTGTAAACTAATTAGGGCTAATGGGTCAGGTAAAATGCTTATGTTTTAGCTTTTTATATATTGTGCCACTAGGGGAAAGACATCCCTTACGGTATGACTGTTGGGCAATCTGTAACAGTGAGCTAGGTATAGGAAGTGCTGGTGCCTAAATGAACTATTTGCTGGGAAATGTATTACATTCAAAGTTTGCTCTAAGTTTACATGTAGACACATGTGAAAAACTGAATTTAAAACTTCTCAAAGAGGCCAGGCGATTGTGGCGCACGCCTTTAGTCCCAGCACTTGGGAGGCAGAGGCAGACAGATCTCTGTGAGTTCAAGACCAGCCTGGTCTACAAGAGGTAGTTCCAGGACAGCCTCCAAAGTCACAAAGAAAACCTGTCTAGAAAAACAAAAGAATAAAAAAAAAATTCCTAAAGAGTATTACTTTTCTATATCCTTCACAGCTGAATTCTTAGCTTTCATTTCATTTGAAAGCATATTGCTCTTCTCAGTGATTTCTTTAGTATCTTCATGAATTTTTTCCTTTTGAGTTTTCATTTCAGCAATTCTTTTTTGTAGATCATAACTAGAGGAGAAAATAAGGAGAATGCAAAGTATCATCAGTAAAATCAACTGCTTATAACATATTTATTCATCAATTTATAGCAAAGTGAGGTCTATGGAAGTGGGGTTAAGGCTAGATAGAATTTAATAACAAAATTGGTCCAGTTAATAAATTAGATCTAAGCTGGGCGGTGGTGGCACACACCTTTAATCCCAGCACTCTGGAGGCAGAGAAAGGTGGATTTCTGTGAGTTGAGACCAGCCTTGTCTACAAGAGCTAATTCCAGGACAGCCTCCAGAGCCACAGAGAAACCCTTTCTCAAAACAACAACAACAACAAAAAAACAAAACAAAAACAATAACAACCCCCCCAAACCCAAACAATAAATCAGATCTATCATTCAACAGTGTATAGTAAGTAGTATCTCATTGTTTTTGCATTTCAAAGTTTCAGTTACTTGTGGAAGACTAGCATCTAAAAATATTAAAAGGTAAATTATAGAAATAAACAATTTCAAAACGTACATTGGCTAGCATTACTAATCTTTCCTTTCATTCAGTATACCAACATGTACATACCAGCCCTATACTCACTTAGTAGTTCAAGTAACTCTCCTTATACTTAATAATGCAAAGGGCCTAAAACATGTAAGGAGGAGCTGAGGAGATGGTTCAATTAAGCAAGAACATTTGATTTTTAAGAATGAAGATCTGAGTATGAATTTCCTGCACCCAGGTAAACTGTGCAGCACCATGGTTAAGTGTGCTGTTAACATCAACATTAGGGGGTGGGGTAGGGAGCATGCCTGATGGCTAGCTTGCCTAGCTGGAACTTCTGTTTTAGGGAACATCCTGTAAGGTGATGAGGTGGAGATGGGTAGAGGAAGACACTCCATATTTTGCCCTGGCTTCTGTGTACGCACATGCATACGCTTGCTCATGTGCAGGCAGACACACACATACACATTCCCCCAAACCAAACCAAAAAACCCACAATGGATTGGGGAGATAGCTCAGAAGGTAAAAGTGCTTTCAGGACACACTTGATGACCTGAGTTTTATCTCTGGAACCTCCTACTAGGAGAGAATGATCCTTGAAAACTGTCTTCCTTCCTGGGGAAGTTAGCACCCACCTACCCTTGTACAATTATACCAATAATGAAAACAACAAAAACTGCATCCTGCAAGAGCTGATTAACTCTGATTTTGTGGCACTTCTATAGGACACAAATAGTACATACATAAGGGTTTGGCACAGCCTGTGATTTCTGTCAGGTTCTGAATATTATCCCTTAGCACATGCACTATTACTACTCATATGGTATAACTTCCTTCCTTCTTTCCACTTTTAAAATAGGACACTAAAAAGTGAGTAGTGACTTTTAGAAAAATCACATTACAGAAAAAAAAGGCTTTGATGCTTAGACCAGAGTACTTACATGTAATATTGACAGACATGATTCTTTTTTTTAAATATTTCATTTTCCAGGGTAAGGAACTCAATGGCTATGTTTTTCTCTCCTTCTAGGGCATCCTTTTCCTTTTCCACCATTTTAACTCTGTTTAACTACAAAAATTATAAAAAATTATATATTTCATATATAAAGTCAAATCGAAACATAAACACCAAGTAAAAGATTTCATCCAAAGACTAATATAAAAATGGAGGGTTCAGAAAACAAAAAAAAAAAACCCAAACATTTTTATGTGAATTATAAAAAGTATTCAACTCAGTAAATTCAATTGATCCATAAATAAGACATTCTCATTGGCAACTAATGTCTACTAAAGATTCATTTACCTTTTCTCCTCTGTTTTCATTTAATAGTTCAACTCTCCGACATAAGACTTTAATAGGTTCATTTAGCCGTCCACAGCCAATTATATCTTCTAAATACTCAAGCATACCCTCATCATGTTCAGTCTGGCCTTTTGGTTTCATCATAGCAATCTGTTCGACTTCACCCTTTAAGAGAGTTACATTCATCCTCATTGTATTCAGTAGCTAAATCTCTTCAGCAAGAATAGGGTAATCCCAACTAAACGATATTCATCAAGTAGGTTTTAGATGTTTTATTCAAGGGGTCTGAAACCCCTTTATATTATTCTTATAAAATTACTGACAACACATATCCACATACAGACACAAAGATACCCTATGTTGTGGTTTCAAGTAAACAAATTTTTCTGTTAAGCAAAATTTGACAGGGTACATTACCAATTATTACTAACAATTTGCTAATGGTCTCTCATTCTAAAATAAGTTTTCAGAGTTCCTTCTAGTTAAACTGTATAAGGAACCTTGCCCAAATGCTTCTAGTTTTACCCTTTATGTAGTTATCTAATTTCTCTATAAACCTAGTGAGTTTGACAAGTGACCCACTTCAGAAAAGATGACTAAAACTTAACAAGCAGTTGTAAACTGGATGGTAGAAATTAATCTCAGGTTCTCTGCAACAGCAGTAACCACCAAAACCACCAAGGATCCTTTCTTTTATCCAGAAAAAAAAAAAATCATAGCACCTTTAAGTTTGAACTTAAAGGACTCTTTCACTCCAAGTTTACAAATCATATAGTAACAGAACAGGGACCACTAAAAGATTACCTGGAGCTGGTAACATTTCATTCACCCTCATAGTTATTGCTACTTTCTAGGTTTTTTTTTTTTTTTTTTTTAGCTAGAGTCTCTCTATGTAGGCCTAGAGTTCAGAGATCAATCAGTCTGCCTCTGCCTCCTGAGAGCTGAGAATAAAGCCATGTGTCCAAACAAAGTTTTGTGGTTATTTATTTATTTTTGAGACAGGGTTTCTCTGTGTAGACCAGGCTGGCCTTAAATTCAGAGATCTCTTGCCTCTGCCTTCTGAGAAGTGGGATTAAAGGCACATGCCTCGGCTACTACCACTCAGCTTTGAACAAAATTTTAACGCACTCCCAGCCTCAATTATTCTGAGAGTGGTGGGGTTGAGTATACAGCTCAGTGGTAGAGTGCTTGCAGAAGGCCTTGCATTTGATCCCTAGCAACAGAAGAGGGAAAAATAAATTAGAAAGGAGCTTGAGTTCTAACTTAATGAAGGCTCTGCTGGGTAGCAAACAAGGATACTGTGATTCAGTTAAACCATTCTTTGATGATCTTATTTACAGGTACCTAGAGCTTAAAAATCTAAGAGAAAGCTGGGTATGGTAGCACACATCTGGAATCCCAGCACTTGCGAAGTGAAATAAGTGCTTTTATTTTCATTAAAATAAATACAGGGGGTGGTGGTGGAAAGATGGCTCAGCAGTTAATAGTACCGACTACTCTTGCAAAGAACCAGGCTCAGTTCCCAGCACCAACATGGTGGCTCACAGCATTCCCTAACCCTAGTTGAAGTTCTGATGCCCTCTCCTGACTACCTTGGCCCCAAGCACATATACAGTAGATGTGTATACAAGTAGGCATTATTAGATATCAAATCCAGAGCCTCATGTGTGCTAGCAATCACTACCACAGATAATATTCCAACCCCCTTGGGCTTTCTAATTTTTGTTTTGCCTAAATAATTTTCATTTTCTGAACTATAACTTCTACCTTCCTCAAGTACAGTTTACCCTAATTTGTTCTACAAGAGGACAACCAAATCCCCAAGGTTAATATCTGTCCAAAGTACACAAGTAAAAAAGAGAATGCTTTTGTGGTTAGTTTTCATATCTATTCTGGGTGCTTAGGGGCAGCCTTCTAGCATGTTTTCCACAGTTGAGCCACTGGATCAGACAACTAGTCAAAAACTTCTTTCAAAATGTAGTCAGGTTTGCTTTTTAGATTTTTTTCCTTATTTCTAGATAAAAAGACGACAACAAATAGTTTATATGCCACGCCTTCTATAAAAGTATATTAAAAAACATGATCAACAAGGTTAATCCACTCTCCAGAGTAGAAAAGTTATAAAAATGTTTTATTTCATAATATGAAGACAAAAAATATACATAAATTTTGACAAAATCCAATTTCTGTTTTTTAAAGGAATTTACAAAATCACTTCCAATACACCAATCTATTAATGCAACTTTGAAGGGTAACTGAAGCATAGGATTGTCACTTCTAACTTGAGTGGAGCAAAAGCATTAACTAATGGAGCAAACCAATAAAATCTAATTAGTTAAGTTTTAGTCACCTATGAAATAATACAGACTAATAAAATCGTTTTTGTTTGGACCATTAATCTTTTTTTTTTTTTTTTTAAGATTTTATTTGTTTATTTGTATACAACATTCTGGTTCCATGTATATCTGCACACCAGAAGAGGGCACCAGATCTTATGACGGATGGTTGTGAGCCACCATGTGGTTGCTGGGAATTGAACTCAGGATCTCTGGAAGAGCAGTCGGTGCTCTTAACTGCTGAGCCATCTCTCCAGCCCCTGGACCATTAATCTTAAAACATCACAAAAATCTCTCCAGTAAGATAGAAAACCAATGGCTAATCAATCAACTGTGACTACTTTTGAAATATACATGGCCATTTATACCTGTCCTCAAGGGTAAGAAATAGGACTTAACCATCTGAATGATCATTGAAATTTTAAATTGATCCGTATACTAGAAATGCTTACTTAAAAAACACAAATCCATAAACGCTGTAAGTTTTTAAAATAAATTTCTAAAATTCAGTGCATCTTAATCTTAAAAAAATTGCTTTTCCTACATTTATATTACATGTGATAAAATCAGTATCACTGTCCAGTCTGTACTGATATTATGATACTGTCTTCAATTTTCTAGCCACCCTAAGCACAGGTGGTAGTTTTTAAGACAAATGTTAGTGATTAGGATAATGAAATAGAAGCTATGATCTTACTTCATGTGCTTTAAATCTCTTATTAGTATAAGCGTCAAAGATTCTGATAAAAAGCTAAGAAAATCTCACAGAAACTACTTCCACTTTCCCTGGAATTTAAAAGGATTCTATGAGTTTTATCTAGCCCAATTTCTCCCTTTTCTTCCTAAAAGGCAAGTTGCTAAAAAGTTCTTATCTAAGTTCAATCAAAAATGTAAAAACTTTAAGAGCACAGAAAGGGTTCAGATAATGAAGACAAATTGAAGGAGCATCTTCAGTGCATCAGAAGCATATGTTTTAATATAAACTTAACACTTTACTATTATTTCTTTGGGAAATTGCTTTATTACCTTTCTTTATTACCGAATTACATATAAATAAACCACACAAAAACATTACAAGACCTAAAATATAGTCTACTTTGCACTGGCACAAGATTGATTATTTCAGTATAAAACTAAGCAAATAGCAAAGAATAAACAAAAAGTGAATATAATTTCCTTCAAAAATGTTACCACCACTTAAATTTAGCATTACAAAGGAACACAACTTTTTAATCTATAGTTTATCAAGCCAAATTCTTGAATATAGAAATCCACAAAACAGTACAATTAATTTAAAAAACAAAACAAAACAAAAACACCCACAATGGCTTAAGACTGAATCTATATAAATTCAAATTTTTACAATCAAATCTTATTTGTAACTGATTTTTTTTTCAAATTTTATTTTTAAGTAACAGTGGTTTATTGAAATATTGTAAATGCACCATTTTTGATAGTTAAGGGGTACTAAAAGTTATTCCAGAAAATTTTACTTGCCTTCTATGTGACATATGCTTAAAATAATAATAAAAAACCCTGAAGAATAGTCTAAAATGTTTGAAAAATTCTAACTTGTTAATGGTAATAGTTACCACAACAAAACATTTTATATCAAATCAAAACTCCTAACTTATTTTAAAATCAGTAGCACATGATAGTGTATTGGCAGTTGCTTCTATATAATATGCAACCTCTCTCTTTAAATTTTATTTATCCTTAGTAACTTGGGATAGAACAAGAGAATAAGACCTTTAAATCAAAACAGGAATTTCACAGTATCTAACAAAGCCATATTTCACTAACCAACCAACCAAAAACAAAACAAAACAAACAAAAAACCCCAACCAACCTCTCCATTCCAAATGACAAAAATCTTCCTTGTACCAAGTTATAATAGCAGGATATACTTTTACACCCATACACGCCCCAAAAGGAAAAACAAAAACAAACCAAAAAACCCCACAGGGTCTAATAAAATATCAAATTAATACCAGACATTAATTTTTATGCTCTTTTAGAAGACTTCTCTGAGAGTCGATACTAATATTACTGGTTTAGCAATTAGGCTACTGTAAATAAAACAAGACCCATCTTGAGTAAACATTTATTATTATTATTACTATTATTAATGTCAAAAGTACTATATTAGGTGATCAGGGGAATTTCCTTTTGTTAAATATCAAGCATATAGTTTTTATGTTAGAAAAAAATGACAAACAAAAAGGGGAGACTATTAAAAGATTTTATTTCAAATGGTAAAGGGAAATACAAACAGAAATGAGAGCTGCTGTATGCCTGTCACACTAAAGCAGCACAATAATATTGGTGTTTAATATTTATTTCACTACGCCAATATTTACGTGCTGCTAGAGCGGAACAAGTATGTCAGATATCCAAACAAAATGAACATGTGATGATAACCATATCATTTAGAATGAATTTCCTTAAATTTCTAGAGCAGCAAATAATGATTCGCATCTTGACTATAGTATGTAAACCATGATGTGCTGCTATAGTACTTTAAGGTTCCAAAATAACAGGATTCAAACAGAAGAACACTCTTTCTAGCTTTATTACAAAACAAAAATTAAAAACCAAGAACTTTGGAAGTGTTTATGAACTTACCTGCAATATTAAAAATCGATTATGGTCCAAGTCAATTCCATGGCTTCTAAGAAGATTTCCAACATCTTTAAATGTCCTCTTCTTCCCACTTATATGATAGACAGAAGTGTTATCTCTGTAGGCTGTTCTAGATACATAGAAGTTACTGTTAGGAATAACTTCATAATCATCCCCTTCCTGTTTTTAGGGAAAAAACAAAACCAGAAAATGGTTGGTATTAAGTTACAGGCAGGTCTGGTCCAGATTTCATTAGGGAAAAAACAAAACCAGAAAATGGTTGGTATTAAGTTACAGGCAGGGCTGGTCCAGATAACCTTTACTTTTATACTGAAACCAATTCAATAGATTAAATATTTCATAAAATTTTTCTTGTATTTTTCTTGACAAATTCACACACACACACACAAAAATAATTTGTCCTTATCTCCCCTGAATTAAATATATACAAAAATTGACAATTGCTCTAAAATGAGTTTTAAAAAATTGCTTTAGCAGGGATTAGATACTTCTCCAAGTTGTTGGGTTTCTTTCTCAAAGCTCTCTAAAACCAAAAGCCAAATCAAGTAAACAAAACTTTAGCTCTCAACAAGCCAAAAATTGTATTTGAATAAGAGCCAATGAAGGTGGACAAGAGTCCCACCGTCTCTAAAACAACCCCACCCTACTCAACCTAATAACCATGTTGACTGGTTAAAAAGCTATATAGGAAGAGATAATTTAAGGAAAATATTAAGGGGAAACTTTTTTTGGTGGTGGTATTGTGGGGGAGAACAGCTTGTCAGTCAGGTATGTGTGGCACAACACAAGATACCCTTTGCACCCAGCATCCCTATCATCATTAATTGAAAGTAAAACCATAAAAATCTCACAATTATATACCTGATAAAGGGAATCAATTATGAATCTATTTTACCATTAAAGCTCATTCATTTTTAAGGCCCGGTCATATTCAATTTTAGACAACTCAAACTTAACAGGCATTGGATATCTGATTTATTGGCAATCTATTTTCTAACTCAAAAGTACAACAGAATGAATTAAGAAGCAAGATTAAGATAGATGCTTTTGTGAAATTAAATTTCTTTATGTCTAAAAAAAGAGAACAATCCCCCAGCACCTATATTATCTAACCACTTCATTATGTGCATTTCTTTATTCCTTTTTAGGTTCTTTTCAGTTGATTTTTGAATCATTAACTGTCTAAATAGATGAGAAAAAAACACCCACAGAACCATGTAAATAACCTGGTGATTATTTATAATTTTATTTCTAGAAAACAAAAACAGTAGCCTGCCCCCTATCATTTCAAAAAAAAAAAAAAAAAAAAAAAGCATCACGGTAGTTCAAACCTTAGAAAATTTTTTTCATTTCATCTCACACACATACACACTGCTACTAATGACACATTTAATGTATGTTGGAATAATGGGGGTGGCAAAAATCAGTAAATTATTACATTTTAAAGATTAAAACGTTTACTCTAAAGCAATAAAAAGTATAACTTAAAAATGAAGCCAGTATTTACAGTGAATGAATGCTTATTTAGTCCTTGGGATCCCCCAAATCAGTATTTTCTTCCAAAGAGTTGAAGTAAATATGGTCACAGAAGGAATATTTCTTTTGCTTTAATTATACAAAAAGTGTAAGAAATAATTCAGATCTATGAAAACAAAATGTGCCACGATGTTTCTTTTTCTTGCTTGAAGTTGCAAGTAGAAAATAATTTCTTACCTTATCAATTATCTTTTGAAAATGAACTTCTACAGTACAACTCTGGATATCCTTGTGTTCATCAGAATTATGTATCAATACTGACAGCTTTTTAGACCTTATTTTTTGTGCTCGATAGCCAAACACAAAAAGCATGGAATCAATAACATTGGATTTTCCACTGCCATTTGGCCCAATAATACAGGAAAAGCGCTGTGTAAAAATAAATTTTTTAAAAATTTAAATTTACAGTCACACTAATTCTACTAATTTTAAAAAACTAAAGGCATTTAAAAGCTTTCATTATTAGGAAATACATAATTTGAGTTTTCTTTCTAATCTTTAGAAATAAAAGCAGTTTATTAATTAAAGGAAAGTACTCCAAGATGGGTGGGCTAGTGAGCTGAGGGAAAAGCATTCACTCTAAAAAACCCACTTTGATTTTCTTACATCATGTTCTGCTCTAGCACAAGCTTTAACAACATTTTAAATAAAACCGTATTCAAATTCTAATCCCGACATTTACAGCCAACGGGAAAATACTTCCTTCTAATAAAAAGATTCTATTCAACAAGAAAACCTTATTGCTAAAGATACATCAAAGATTCCAGATAAAGAAAAACTAATTCCTGTTGTTGAAATCATAGGCAACATATTTATGTTTGTCTATTCGGCTGTGTGTGTGTGTGTGTGTGTGTGTGTGTGTGTGTGTGTAAAGAGCCAGGCTGTGTGTGTGTGTGTGTGTGTGTGTGTGTGTGTAAAGAGCCAGGATAGTTAGAAAACCGAAATATTTTTGCAAAAAAGACGTATTACAGGTTCTTTAAATGGGCAAATACCTTATGGAAAGGTCCCAGAATTTTCTCTCCAGCATAGGACTTGAAGTTTTGGTTTACAATGTGAGTTATCATTAGACGAGGAGCTCCAGCTTCACTGGCCATTGCAGGAGGTGGGGGTGGAGGAATACTATTCAAAATCTCTTCTAAACTTCTGTTATCAAGTTCCTCACCTGGAGTCTCTGGGTTAACGGAAAGGCAGAGAGAGGAAAGCCTACATTGGTATAATTAGGTGGAGGCCGATTGCCTGCCAGTTTTAAAGAATGGAACGGAGGGTGTATTTAGAAAACTAGTAATCTGTCTTCCACAAATATATCCTAAACATGGCGATGGATAATATTTCACCTTAGTTTCAGGAACAACAAAATTCGTGAAAGAAATAGCACCAGTCATAAAATTCTCTATATTTCTTAGAGGAGTCAAAAACACATCATAAAGCAAACCTGTCAATATCGCAACAAATGGATTCCCTGCTTCCTATATTAAACAGGAGATGGAACCCAAACGACAGAAAGTCCAACTCTACATGGTTCAGCACTTAAGAAGCTCACAAGTTTCAGCAACATGGTCACAAGAGTTTCACAGTAGCTCTTAATTCCAACACTTGGAATGCTACACGCCCTCAAATTCTATTTTCTCTTTGAAGGCAATCTAAGGGGCCCACCTGTTTGTTTTTTTTCCCCCCTTGCAGGAGACTCGCGTTCTGTTCCTAGCACCCACAGTGGGCGGCTTACGATTGCTCCAGGTCCACGACTTCCACGTATGTGCACATACCCCCTCAACACAGACACTCTTTAAAAAGTAAAAAAATGGCATTGCACCAAAGAAAGGCAATCCAAGGGTAAGGTTGGAGCGGAGAGGCGCTCAACAACTCTGGGCTGACCATTCAGCCGAGGTACGATAAAGGCGTCAGTCAGTACTACTCCAAGACATCACAGAAATCCACAACTCACGTCTCCCGCTCACCCCCATCCCTTCCAGAACCGTTACAGCAAAACTGCATGGAATTCCTGGGAAAACCGCAGAGTGGCTTCCCGGGGG